ACGTTCTTTATCTCCCTGGTTTTAGTAATTTATTTTAAAATTTTCATGCTCTAATTCTCCACAGCATATGGAAATATAATCATTGTCAATTTGTGTTATAAGCCTATTCAGCTCTTACATATTTTGATTGATCAATGTTATTGTTTCTTGTCAGTTTTGTCTGTGGAAAAAAAAAATCTTAATGCAACTGCTAATATTGCAGCTGCTCTTGGTTTGTTTAGTGTCAGTGCTGCCACTGATTACTGCTTAGTACAATTCATAGATTATCTTTTTTAATTCAACCTTTATTTATACAGGTTATTCCCATTGAGCCCTGGGGACTCATTTACAGGAGAGACCTGTTGCTTAAAGGAAAACGGTGCACGATTAAACAGACGGAGAGATGGATGGACTTTAATAATACAAGTCGAAGATTTTTTTTCCCCACAACAGATAAAACTAAAATACAAACTGACATTATATAAAACATGAAGCACATTGATTGACAACTACAAAAATATTAAACTTATGCAAAATATGAATCATTGTGTGTGGCAAGGATGTGAAAAATGTGATTTAAAATTGTGCATACTGTCATTTTGTTGCAGATGAAAACATTTCCATGCATCTTTCATGACACAACTCATAGATTAAATTATCGCCTGCTGCTATACGTGTCTGTTACCAAAATATTGCATGAAAATTAATCAAATTTGCAGAGTTTAATTACTCGATCTTCTTCTAAACCTAATTAATTTGTGGTATTAATCAGATTCAAGATGGCTGCCACAGAATGTTAGCATACAAAAATGGCTGTACAGTACCTGAGTCACTTTCAAATATATTAACTTTCAAGGCTTGACATAAAAAAATAAAATTTTCAGGTTGTCCGCTGGACAACCTCTTGACAAAATCTGGTTGTTCTCCAAAATTTTTGGTTGTCTGCAACCTTTACAATAAAGAAGGCAAAAGATCTCAAGATAAATTGCACTATACACAAAGTTGACTAAAACTGTATTTAAAAAAAATATATAGCACAAGAAGTCTTTGCAGAGTAAATTAACTTAAATTGTTTTAGTTTTTAATTTGCCTGACTGACAGATTTCTCCCCATAAAATGACTTTCATTCAAAAGGATTAAATTTACAAGACTTCAGCTCATGTAGTCATTTAATACTATTTATTTTTCACATTTGATCATTGATTAAATTGCATTTATCACCGTACTGTTACCTCTCAGAATGGTTTAAATTAAATATAATGAAGTTCAGCTCAACCAAACAGGCACACTTTATTCTTTCTAAAACACTGCATAGAATTTAAATTTGCAGATATTTATGACAAACTACACTAACCTGAAACTATGAACACATTAATATTTAATACACAGACTTAATAAATAAAAGTCCTGTGGGGGAGACAGTGCAGGACGAGGGGTTAGAGGTGATGGTGTTTCAGTTCTGGTGTCTCCTCCGTCTGCAGTGACTTGGTCACTTGCAAACACATACGCTTAGTACGTCGATGTTTAATAATTTATTACGTCATCACCTTCTGTTAGGGCAGCGGGGTGTCCTCCATCGAAAGAAGTCCAGGAAACACTGACTGGTGCTCTCACCTGCAGTCTGTCTCTGAGTTGGGAGCACTGTGATCACCCGCCCTGCTCGGCTCTGATTGGGTCAAACTGTGGTTCTGTTTTTTTTTTTATTTGTTGAAAGCAGCGTCAGTTTAATCCTTGTATCGTTGTTATATTGGATGGCTTTAAAAAGACCACAACAAAACACACATTTTCCCCCTTTCATTTTTACAGATGATGGAAATCTGTTAAAAAATAAAATAAAATCATAGACGAAAACAAGTCTCGATCAAACGGAAACCGCTTATGTTTACTCCTGGCTTTGGTATAGCAGTAACCGAGACTGATCCCCGACACGTTATGAGCACTAACAGATTGCACAAAGTTTTTGTTTAAAATTTTATTTAAGAGTCACCTCTGTCTTTTTGTTAGCAAAATAGTCCATGCACCACTGGACAGATTTTAATGAAGCTCTCAAGCAATGACGATTAGATGAACATCTACAACTGATAAACTGCTGGAGTCAACACAATTCAAGATGGCCACCACAGCTTATTGGTATTAGTCAACACAATCGTGACTCGGTTAATTTTTCAAATATTGAGCTAACATTTGGAGCTGTAGTTACAGAGACATTCACAACACATGCGTACGTTTCATAGGTCAGACCAAAACAGTTACAACTGTCAGTCTAAGATGATCTTAGTTTAAATCCCTGGTGTGAAATGCAGTGGGCAATATGCATTCCTATAAAGAACGCATAGTTATTTTTCACACTTTTAAAAATTATGCCTACCCTTCATGTTTTAGTTAGCTCTGTCTGCTTTCTTAGCATTATGTGAAAACAGTTTCTTACCAAGAACATCTCTGCTCACTTTTTTACAGCGCTCACGCTGTTTTAATCATGACTAGATCTCTTAAACATTGCCTTCTCTGCATATTTACCAGCAAAAAAATCCTTCTTTACTCGCATAATGAATGCAGAGTTTGCTTCTTTTTTTATTCTAAGGAACAATTTTGCTTTCATTCTCTTATGCTCACTTTTATTATTTACTGTTTTCAGTTTCTTTCATCACTAACATCATTTGCCATCTCCTCCTCTTCTGTCTTCTGTGCTCACACTAATAAGGAAGGGCCTGTCTCATGGTGCCATTAGTCCTCAAGGCTGCCTACACTGATGGCCACAGAAAGACACAAACACATACACATAACCGTATTATTCAATTTTTGTTTCCTAATTGATTATTCAAGCATGAAATTAAATAAATCTGTAAAGAAAGCTTAGTATTGATTTGCTCAAGTAGAAAAAAACGCACAAAAGTCAGTATTAACATGTTCAACATGACGGAGCATGGATCCACACTGAACAAACTGCAGTAGAAATGTCTCTTTCATTTTTAAAATCATTTTCTGCACCCCGTTGTGCTTCAAGGGCAAGAAATTAGCTTACCATTAGTATTACACCCCCATGTTTGCAGAAATTAACTCCATAACGGAGGTCAGGAAACACAGGCTGAGCTGTTTAACCCAGCAGCGTTGCTTCTTTCTACATTATCAGAATGTACACCATAAACTGTACAGTTACATTAAAATATGTCTATTTAATCCTTTTCCATTTAAAGAGCAGCAACCCGAGACTTGTTTGGCTCTGGGTAGGTTCACGCTGCAAAACAGGTGGTTTATGTAATCACATTATTTTCCTTCTGAGACTTGGAGAAGTGAATGCATAACAACTGTTCTTAAATTTTCTCCCTTCTCTCTTTCTTTTTCACTCAAAACCCCCACAAGAGGTAATCATGAGTCCTCCACGTCGATCATCGAGTTCCCATGGCGACAGGTAATTTCCTGAAGCATTTCTCTACATGTGACACTCCATGACACACTGGGAACACATGCAACACTCCGTTATGTAGCCGAGACTATGCAGGCACATGCGAACGTGTCCTGTTTTGTAGGTGGGTTGTTCTTCCCCATCTTTCTGCTACCTGTTTATGAACAGGATGTTCATCAAATAGAGTTTTGTGTTTGGAAATTGTAATTGTTTTGCTTGTGAATAATGCTTGTTTTTTTGTTTTGTTTGTTTGTTTACATGTTCAGTTATCTTATGTAAAAATACAAGCTTCAGTTGTGCATTAAATATCAAGCTTATGCTCTTATTCCTGGATCTGTGAGCAATGTTTATATTTAAGTTAATTACCTGACTAGGTTGTAAAAAAAAAAATCATTCTGCTCATTCCATATGTTGTAGGAGTTTCAAAGAAACCGAGATGTTTATTTTCTAAACACAACGTCCCAGTGGCTTCCAAACCCCAGAATACATTACAGCAAAGACTGGTTCATCCCAAAGATCCAGTCCCCCGGCACAAACAGAGCAATGTTGTGTATGCTGTTCAGTGTCAGGAGGGCTGTGATCAGTCTTACATCGGGGAAACTAAACAGCCACTGGCCAAAAGGATGGCCCAGCACAGAAGAGCAACATCATCAGGCCAGGACTCTGCGGTCTACACTCATCTCCAGGCCAGCGGTCACTCTTTCAGGGATGAAGATGTTCACATCCTTGATGGAGAAGAACGTTGGTTTGAGAAAGGAGTGCAGGAAGCCATCTTTGTGAAGAGAAACCGTCCATCGTTAAACAGGGGCGGAGGCCTCCGTGTTCGACTGTCCCCCTCGTACAATGCTGTTATTGCTAGTTTCACTCAGCCCTCTGTGAATCTCAAGTGGCCATCAGGGCACTAATGAGTGTATGTGAGGCTGATGGTCCTCCTCTATCATGTGAACAGCTAGTTCTGGATGTCACCAACAAACTGGTTGATCCACTACGAGAAGGTGCTGCTTACAAGACTGAGTTTACTGCAGCTCCTCAGTCTGAAGAAGGCTTTAGGATAAAATATGAAAAGTTTCAAAAAAGAATTCGTCCAGAGGACCTGACTCAACCTTGTTCAATGACACGAGATTGCCCTTATTACTTTTCAAGTTTTCAATTTTTCATCATAAGTTGATTTTATTCTAAAACTCTGTCATGAGGTGCAGTGAGTAATATGCATTCCTCCAAGGAATGCTAGGCCTTTTAATATAACTTATACCATCACCGTATTCTACTCATTACTACTCAAAGAAAACATTTTTTCCCCATGGTAGTTTTTTTTAACTGCCTTTGTCCTCCATCCTGTTCTTGACCAACTGTGTCCTAAACTTCTTGTATGCAAATTAAGTCATTGCACACCCTTAACTGTCTTTATTGTACTCATATTTTAATATTTAAAAGCCTCTAATGGATTTGTCATTACGTCTTCCATATCAGTGTCAGCTGTCAACATTGGATCACTGTTGTGAAGCAAAGACAGACATGCTGATGAGCAGATGATGCTCTGCTCCCCTTCTTGTCATGCAGGCCCTCCTCTGAGACCTCGCAGAAAAATAATTGCAGCAACTCTGGCGTTATTCTGGACATCTCGTCCCTCAAGATGGCTGACGTGGATTCAGAGGTGCCTCCACTTCCTCCTCGCTACCGCTTCAGAGATTTGCTGCTGGGAGACCAGACGTTTCAGAATGAAGACAGGTAGCAAAAAAACCCACTTATATTTCATGCACCATAACTTAATAGGCTGCCCAAGGATATTCCTGGAGGGGCCTCTGTAATATTGTGCGTGTCTGTGTGTGTTACACTCTCCCAGTAATAATATAATGAGCGAGGTCTTCTAAACTAATATATCTTTTATATATTTATGGTTTTGCTGCATATTTAAAAATTAGCTTTTTAAAAAAAAACCATTTAGAGATGTGACAGGGTTTTAGCTTTTGGTTTTATGTGCAGTTTAATAAAGAAATAGAAAAATAAATTGAACCCTAAGAGGTTTCTTAGTGAAAACAAAGATTCAGGAACTTGTTTAGAAGACCTTGGGGCTGTGTTGCACTTGGACCTATTTGTACAATAACGAGCAAGATATTAGCATATGAATGCTTTGGAAAACCTTGTTTTTAAATATTTTCCAAAGTTTAAAGTCTTTTTTTTTTTGGCTTTGGTAACCTTTAGACATAAAAATATGCAGTATTTGACTATCCTGCCACTGAAATAATAATAAGCAAAAAAAGCATCAAACATACAAGCTCAGTTGAAGAAATGTGAAAAAGTCAGACGGTGGCTGGTTTGCCTTTTCTTAAATGACTGAGTGGAAAAAGTCCCACTCTTTGGCTCTTAAGTGGCACTTCAGTCAATGGAGAGCTGGAGATTCTGGGAGTCTCCTCAGTTATTGCTGTGGTTGTGGAGGCGAAGCAGCAGATGCTGTTTACTGACCGTGAGGGGAAGAATGCCTCAACCACTGCGCAGGACGCTGGAGCTGTCTGTGGTGCTGAAATGAAGCCGTCTCTGAAGCAGCAACACTTCTATAATTCCCTGCAGAGAGAAAATAAAGAGCTCCGCTTCGGCGTTTGTTGATTTCCTACTCCCGTTTAACTTGCTATACTATACATTTTAAAGCCTATTAATTTGTTCACTAATGTGCAACTTTTGTTTGTAAGCCACTTTTTTTACATGATACAGTTATGAACAAAACGTGGGCGCACCTGAGCTGAACATTTCACAGTAAGCTTAGGCTCGTATGAGGTTCTGATTAGGGATGAACCGATCCACTTTTTTCACTTCCAATATCTGAGGTTTAGTGCCGGCCGATACCGACATGATACAGAAAAACAGTGCTGAATTAACTTCAAATATTTGTTGTTTTACGCAGACATAAATGTACTGAATTACATATTTATTGAAAACTCTGCACCAGTCCTGCACACTTAAACATACCAATAGTTTCACAAGCTTGCGTGTAGAAACAACACAACGTTAATTTGTTCAGTCAGTGCAGTTATGAATATAACATCCAATGTAAAATAAATAATAATAAAGATACTGAAACTGACAAAAACAACAGGTTGACAACTTTGGTCAAACATGAAAAAATAAACTTCAACAAACCCTTCAAATGGTTCAGGAATTTTAAATCTAATGTAAAATAAATAATAAAGGAGCTGAAATAAGAGGAAAAAACTATGGCTTCACTAGCTTGTTTGGCAGGTATTTAAAATAAACAGCAATCAGCTCCTGTCTTGATGGAGCAATCACATTGTCACAATACCAGATCAAGAATTTTTATCTGTACCGAGAACGATACTAATATCTGATCATTGCGTTTCTTGTTCTGATGGTAGGATAATCTCATGCAAAAATGCCAGTTTTATTTTGTATTACAGTATTAAAATAAAGCTCTAGAAATGTATCACAATATTTTTGCTTTATTTGAAAACAAAACAGTCATTTAATAAAAAAAAAATTGTGTCAACTAAAACACCAGAGTCAACAAGCTGATATATTTTTTTACATTAAAAATGATTTTCAATACTAAAGTAATTGTGCCACTACAATATATTACTTCTCTGCTGTTTTATAAAGCTTCACCGCCCTTTTATAAAGTAACTTGGTTACTATGTCTGCAGTGAGTCTGTGGCTAAACTGAACCAACATGTTTATGTTGTCCATTTGTGTTGCTGCGCTTGCAACAGTTGTGCTGATTGGATTGTTTTCTTGGTGGTTACATGTGACAGAAAGCACATCATGTTGTAATTAAACATCAGTGTAGTATTCAGCAGCAGCCACGTACGTTCCAGGAGACAGACTGTAACCTTCCACGAGTGGCTTTTGTGGTTTTTGTTGCAAGCTTCTTGAGTTGTCGCTTGTATAAATGGACTGTACTTATATAGTGCCTTTCTATCTTGTCAAGATACTCAAAGTGTTTTAAAACGCACTCCGTGCTCATTTACACGTTCATGCAGGACTCTACTATATCTATACAAAGATAATGCTTTATCACATTCATACACCGATGGGACACACGTCGGAGGCAATGAGGGCTTCACTGTCTTGCCCTTGCTCCAGCATGTGACTGCTGGTGGAATCGACCCCCCAACTCTCCTACTGGAGGACGACTGCTCTAACCACTCAGCCACAGCTGCCCCCAAAATGTGAAAAGAAATGTCCAAGGTTTAATCCGAACCCAAACTTTTTTTTTAATGTAAATGATGTAATTCTGTCGAGTCTGTTTTCTTATTTATTTGTATTCACTCTCTGTGTCTCTGGGGCTTCCTGCTGGAAATTGTTGCCAGCACGTTTTATTTCAGTGCAACACCTTTATGTGCACATAGCATTTAGAGCAGCATAGTGTTTGCCCACCCCTCCCCCGCAGGGTCTTTATGCTTTCCCAGTAAATACAATAATTTCTTTGTTGGCAGGTGTATTGTTTCCTTCAGCACAAGTCCATTTTCACAGTAACGTTAACATGAAAGATATATTGCTTGAAAAAACACAACCGTTCTTACAGTTATTTAGTTTTAAGAATCCTTGTTTTCTTTAAAAACACATTTTTACTACGCTTTATTTGAATTGGCTGTTAAGATGACATGAACGATTATGGTTGTTTGTTTGAATATTTCATCCAGTTGAGTTTTTTTCTGATTGATTTGTAGTCACATGGGGTGATTAGAGCTTGTATGTTTGCATGGCTACAGATCTATACAATCTGGAAACACCGCCAAGAATACACACATAAGAGACTTTACCTTCTCAAATACTGTGTGAACATTTCAAAGTGAGGAATACCCAGTAAGCTTGGAATACTTTATGTTCCTTTTTATAAACGATGAAGCTGATTTTCCCTTAAACTGTGCGCTATAAAAGAGATTTATAACAGAAAATTCAGCTCGACTGATCTTTGCATTAAATTTTGTGTGTTCGTCATACAGGAAGCTGAATATAAAGGATAATCGTTTGCAGGTCTTCAGGGGCAGTGATTACTCACCAAGTGATGGAAGATCACAAACAGAATCCACAAAGACATTAGGTTTCCAAAAGCAAACAAAATTAAGTTAAAGTGTTATGTTTGATGTCCGTATTGAATTTTATTTTGTTCTTTCTTAAGGTAACAGGGTCATTCCAGTGCATCTAAACTCTTAAGTATTGACATAATCTCACAAAGTGATGGGACAGATTTATATTAAAATTTACAGAACTGTGGAAATGTTTTGAAACTAATACATCTGTAAATATTAACCAACCTAATTGCTTTATTATAATTTAAACAATTAACGCAGCCCATTAGGTTTGCTTAAGTTTTTATTCCGTATGAGAGTTTGTTCTTTAAGATTTTGAAGCTGATAAAGTTCTAAAACAATATAGATGGGTTTTTTTTTTTCAGTGTACAAGTGAGTTGAAGAAAATGAAGAGCTGTGACTTTCATGTAATCTGAGCTTTAAGTGAAGCTTTAGAAGCATCAGGATGTGTCATCTGTGCAGGCTGTTTGTGGTCAGTTGTTTGTTGTGCTGCTTCCATCTTGAAAAGAGGAGTGGGCTCCACAAGCACCATGAGTGTTTGTGGTAAGAAAGAATTACACTAAGCATTATGTGTAAAAGAAAGATTGAATGTCTTTTAGAAGATGTCATGCACCGCATCGTATTGTACCTCATGGGCTTTCTGAAATACCTTATTCTTAAAAGCCGACATGTCATGTTTCTCTCCTGGTGAAAACAATACAGCCACTTCTGGAGATGGGACTCCTGATTGTTGCAGCCCATCAGTGTCCAGCAAAGTCTTGGTGCGCCGAGACAATTAGTTTGTTCGAAGTGAGACCCTGGAAGCTACCTGTCCACGGGGAACCTCTCTCCCAAGCAGAGGTGGAGGTGATTTATCCGTGCCCAGAACTTTAGTGATTGCATGCTGTGTGAAGAGATCTGATCTAATTGCAAAGGGCCGGTGGTGGCACTGACTCAAAGTGTGTGAGCAGCATTCATCTGAGACCTATAGCCATAAATCGTGGGTGTTTGAGTAGTGCTTTCATGGGTAACATATTATCATATTTTACTGCTCTACTGTTGTGGCTTTTTGCATTTTTTCATAAATGTCTACACAGTTGTATCTCTTTTAATGCCGTTATGTTGTTCTTTTACTATATATTTAGTCAGTTTGTACCAATTTCTGCTTGTTCCAGTGGTTGTGATGGAATAAAGTCAGGTGCTCATCCTTCTGCCCTCTGAGACCTGTGGTAAAACCCAACATTACCTGTGTTCCCTAAAGAACTGTGTGGTACCTCATTTTAGCCCATTAAAGTAAGCATTTAGTACATTTTTCATGTCCAGCTGTCACTTTTTCTTCCTCTGAACCTTAAATGAAGAACTGCAACACATTGTGATACATTTTTGCTTTTGCATTTATGCTTCAGCACTTTCCTCTTCAATACATCAAATATATTTTGCTGTACAAGGATGTTAGATTTTTTTTTAGATCTTATTTGCACTTTTATTTAACTAGGGAGGTTGAATTAAGATAAAACATCTCTTCTTACAGAGAGTCTAGTTTAATATGGTGACAAAGAAAATTAGAGTAATGTAAAAGCTTCATAGAAAATCAAATGCAATATGAAAATGACACGGCAATTTTACATAAATAGAAGTACAGTATATTCTTTTGTGTGTGTGTGGAGAGGTGTGTTAAGGGGGTGTTGGTGCCCTAAAATGACTTCT